TTCAGTTCATAAATTCACTAGGAAATACTGATTCATTTTAAGTGAATGGGAATGGTTATGAGGGAGAGAAGGTTGAGACAAAAAAATGGTTGCATTTCGATACCGTTGTTACTGCCATTTTGATAGTTTGCGCGTTTTGGCTACTATATTTTAAATCCCAGTATTCTTGGAATTTAATGCCTTTTTAAAAAACAGATCCAGAGGATTTTTTGCATGGCAAAATAGTTTTCATCTTTTCATATGAAGAAATTTTCATTTTACAATCCTTGAATTTTCCTTTTTTTGAGCAATTATCCAATTTCAGTACTGCTCGGTGGACACGAGCCCACTGTCGAACTACATCTCACATCCGTTCTGGGACCGAATTGTACAGGTAAAGTTACATTTGCCCCTCAAATGCTAAGTTACTTTGAGTTGGTTGAGTCACTGCAAGGAATGAGTAGCAAAATAGCAACATCAAGCCAATAAATCGAAGATAGACTGAAATTCATCAGACGAGATACTTACGGCTAAAGAAGTTCTCTTTTGGCGCTCAAAACCGATTACGTAGCAGTAGTCTAAAATTATTGTTTTGTTAATGGATAAGAATTTTGGATCTGAGGGTCTGGGATAGCTGTGCACGATGCTTTAGAACATCTCAGCAAAATCGCTGGCGTGGAGTTCCCATATCGATTGTCAGGTTGTTCTTGCCATTTTTGAAGTGCAGTTTGAGATAACTGTTAAAATTCCTCGCTACTCACACCCTGTGCAGTAAATAGCAGTTTTTTGTCTGTGTCTTATTTGAATCATAATGATTTTTTCTAGTTTTATCCGATATGGCTGGCGCCGAATTTGCTGACGTTAGCTGGATTCGGATTTGTATTGTTTTCATTTTTAGTCGTCTCCTATTTTGATTATTATTTACGTGCTAATTCGGATGTTCTCACCGAAGGTAACCTTTATTGGAATATTTCTTTTTTCGACTTAAATACCGAGCAAATGCAGTGGGATTTTATTTTTCTTAAATTTATTTGCTAAGTTTTTCATCATAAAATGATGCTTTAAGGATAGTGGTTACTACAGAAAGTTCCTGGTGAAATTTTAATCAGTGAGTCATACATTATGTATTTGTTAATTTTTTGGATTTTACTGAGGGATTTATCCGGTAGCAGTTTCTTGTAACTTTTCATAACTTGTTTCGTTTTAT